ACCGGCAGAGGGATGGGCAGACGGGCAGATGGATGGGTGGGCATACGGACGGACGGGCAGACAGATGGACGGGGAGATGGACGGACCGGCAGAGGGATGGGCAGACGGGCAGATGGATGGGTGGGCATACGGACGGACGGGCAGACAGACGGGCAGATAAACGGATGGATGGGCAGAAGGACGGGCAGATAAACGGATGGATAGGCAGAAGGACGGGCGGGTGGACGGACTGGCGGGTGGATGGATGGACCGGTGGGTGGACGAACGGACCGGCCGGTGGACAGACTGGCGGGTGGACGGACGGACCGGCGGGTGGACGGACAGGCAGATGGACGGGCGGGCGGGCGGAAAGGCGGATGGATGGGCAGACGGACGGACGGGTGGACTGACGGACGGACGGACAGACGGGCGGGCAGATGGACGGACGGCCAGACGGACGGAAGGCAGGTGGGCAGACGGACGTCCTGGCAGACTGATGGGTGGAAGGACGGATGGACGAGCAGACGGATGGGCAGATGCATGGGCGGGCAGATGGACTGGTGGGTGGACGGGCGGGCGGACGGACGGGCAGAAGTACGGGCAGACGGACGGGCGGAAGAACGGACGGACTGATGGACGGGCAGACGGACGGGCTGGCAGACGTGCGGGCTACAGACGGACGGACGGACGGGCAGATGGACGGACGGGCAGAAGGATGGGGAGATGGACGGACAGGCAGATGAACAGACCAATGGGCAGAGGGACGGACGGTCGGGCAGACGGACGGAGGGGCAGACGGACAGACGGTCGGGCAGACGGACGGAGGGGCAGATGGACGGTCTGGCAGACTTGCAGGCTGGCAGACGGACGGATGGAAGGGAAGGACAGACGGGCGGACGGACGGGCAGACGGACAGGCATATAAATGGATGGATAGGCAGAAGGACGGGCGGGTGGACGGACTGGCAGGTGGATGGACGGACTGGCGGGTGGACGGACGGACCGGCAGGTGGATGGACTGGCGGGTGGACGGACAGGTGGATAGACGGGCGGGTGGGCGGAAAGGCGGATGGACAGACGGACGGACGGGCTGACGGACGGACGGACGGGTAGACTGACGGACAGACGGACGGGCGGGCAGATGGATGGGCGGCCAGACAGACGGAAGGCCGGTGGCAGACGGACGGACTGGCAGACGGATGGGCAGATGCACGGGCGGGCAGAAGGACGGGCAGACGGACGGACGGGCAGTGGGACGGGCAGACCGACTGACAGGCAGACGGACAGACGGACGGACGGGCAGACAGAGAGGCAGACAGACGGACGGGCGGAGGAACAGGCAGACGGATGGGCAGACGGACGGGCGAACGGACGGACAGGCGGGTGGACGGACGGACAGACGGGCAGACGGACGGGCAGACGGACGGGCTGGCAGACGTGCGGGCTGGCAGACGGACGAACGGACAGGCAGACGGATGGACGGACGGACGGGCAGACGGGCATACGGACGGGCAAACGGATGGACGGAAGGACAGACGGGCAGACGGACAGACGGACGGACGGGCAGATGGACGGACAGGCAGATGGACGGACGGGCAGACAGACCGGCAGACCGGCAGACGGACCAGCAGACGGACAGACGGATGGACGGATGGGCAGATGGATGGGTGGGCATACAGACGGACGGGCAGACAGACGGGCAGATAAACGGATGGACAGGCAGAAGGACGGGCGGGTGGACGGACTGGTAGGTGGACGGACGGACCGGCGGTTGGACGGAYGGACCGGTGGGTGGACAGACTGGTGGGTGGACAGACTGGTGGGTGGACGGACAGACAGGCAGATGGACGGGCGGGTGGTCGGACGGGTGGACAGACGGACGAACGGACGGGCAGATGGAAGGTCATACGGACGGACAGGCGGGCGGATGGACGGACGGAAGGCAGGTGGGCATACGGACGGACTGGCAGACTGATGGGTGGACGGACGGACGGACGAGCAGACGGATGGGCAGATGCACGGGCGGGCAGACGGACTGGTGGGTGGACGGGCAGACGGACGGGCGGGCAGAAGGACGGGCAGACAAACGAACGGGTGGAGTGA